CAAGATACATTGTAGGGGCTGGGGAGATGGCTCAGTAGAATAAGCGCTTCCTGCACAAGCACAAGGGCCTGAGTTCCATCCCCAGTTCTGCAAAAAAAAAAAAAAGATACATTGTAAAACTGAATGGTTAAGTCTAGCACTGCCAAAGAACAAATCTCATAGTAGCTGATGTTCACAGTTTTGTATCAAAAGATACTATTTTTCTAAAAAAAATAAAAATAAAAATATGTTTGTAGATTTTATCTAGCAATTAAAAAAATTAGTTCAGAAAATTATATCTGTGTAATTATGTCAGAAATGTTGGGGGTTTGGATTGAAATAATCTCTTCCAAAAAGCAGCAAAGCAGCAAAATTCACGTACTCAAGACCTCGTGGAATTTGTATGTTCATCGTAATGATGATCATTCCTTTTTCAGTGAGCAAATTCTCCAAAACAATAATTTTAAAATATTTTAACCAATTTTGTTTCTAAAGGGACAAAATTGTCCTATTCTGTTATTTCTATCCTGAATCCTGGACATGTTACTCTTGTTTGCTATTCCATAGCATTATTATAATAATTCCCTAATGTCAAAAGTGCATATTTACAATTTCATTTGTATTGGCAACTTAATAGATTTTCAGTACTACACTATTTGTAATGTAAAATATAGAAAGAATATTGTTCATCTATAAGTGGATAAATTATTACCAGCTATAACTTAAACTAGAATGCAACTATTTTTGGATCAACATAAAAGAAAAGTTTCAAGTCAACTATAATTTAAAAAATACAAAAGTCTGTAACACTTATCAGGATGTTTGCTTATCTTCAATTTTTATAATATTTTTCTACTGTTAGCAAAATATCTACCCTCAAGCCAGACTTTATTTGAACTGTATTGTACTTTCAGAACCTTAGAAATGAGAAAATAATAAATAGCATTACACAGTTTTTATTGCTTTTTTATTATATAGTAAAATATTTATGAGCACTAATTTGGAACAACTTTGATTTTTTTTTCAGTATCAACATAAACATTTCTAACTACCCAGTTGAATAGAGAATTTATTGGGGCTGGAGAGATGGCTCAGTGGTATAAAGCACCTACTTAGAACAAGCTTAGCAAAGCATCGGGGACCGCGGTTCAATCCCCCAGCACCACATGCCAGCCAGCCCCGCCCCCTGGTGGGCTGAGCTGGCCACACACACACACCACACTCTCTCTCTCTCTTTCTCTCTCTCTCTCTCTCTTTCTCTCTCTCTCTCTCAAATAAATAAAAAAATTTAAAAAAAGTTATAAAAAAAAGAGAATTTATTTACATTGAGAGGCATGCCACAGGCTTGAGAAGGCCCATGTAGTACACGTATGTATACGGGATTCAAAGGCATCAGGTCCAAACTCGAGAAGTACAAACCATGTTGATATGGTCCTACACATCCGGGTATCAATAAACTTAGCATCCTTTTCTTGGACCAAAGAAAATGTCATCAGACTGTGAATCTGAATTGCTTTCCCTTGTTTTCTTACCTAATATTTTAAAGTATGAAAAAAGTCTTTGTATCTGAAGTACTATGATAGGGCCAGGGAGATAGCTCAGTGGACTAAGCATCCTCTTAGGCAAGCACAGGGACCAAGGTTTGATCCCTGGCACCACTTGCCACACTGCCCCAGTCCCCGGGCACTGAGACCAGGCATGGTGGTGATACCTGTAATCCCAGTGCTGGAGATGCTGAAAATAGGAGGACCACTATGAGTCCAAGCTGCAGTGAGACCCTGTACTAAATACATTAAAAAATAAATAAAAATAAACTACTATGATAAAGCTTAGCAGTTTTCAAGTACTTATTTTTCTCTCCTCTTTTAACAACTTACCAGTAAACATACCATTTCATTAGTCAGCCATATCTATTGCTTAAAGTAGTTCTCAAAGCAAAGAAAAAACTGAGAATGCACAAATCTGTATAGAGGTTTCACATCCTTTTGGGGTTTGTGATGCCATTTTGGTTGCCTAAGACATACAGACACGAGGATAGTTAAACTCATGCTTTGTCAAATGCCAGGAAATACTGGATGCCGAAGTTCAGTGTTACAGAGTGCAGGCTGAGAGTCCTGCGTCTGTAGGAAGGGTGATAGCGCTTGAGAGCCCTTTGTGAGAGTGCGTCAGAGTCCGTGCTCACAGAGTGCTCTCGTTCTCTCTCTCCACAGCCAGCACTGTCTAAAGTAGTATTGTGGCCTGTTTGTTAAAACAGACCACTTGACCACATTTCATGCATTCCCCACGAGGAAAGCAGCAGTGCTACCATTTTACTTTTTGTCTGGTGAACGTAAACATGGCCACCTTCATTTTACTTCAGTTAAAGCTACAACTTGCCCAGAGAAAAAACCGCTCGCGTTACCTACCCCTGCTCTTCCCTCCTGCCGTAAACCAAGCGGGCACGAGCATTGCAGGCCTTCCGCTATGCCCTCTCACCTCCCCTGCCCTGGCTTTCCTCCTCTTCTGGCCAGACACTGCCCGCCTCCTCCGTCATCTCTACTCGTGTCTCCAAGCCATCTCGTGCACCACCGCTCTGCAAAGCAAGGTCCCGTCTTAGAGGAGCTGTGCAGTCTTCGAGGGGACTGCAAGGCCACATGTACTTTCCCAGTGCTCAGACCTTGATGCCCTTTTCACCACGAGGACAGGGACCCTGATGCTGCACACACTGGGTTGAGTCGTTGGCGCCTTAGCAGTCCCTTTGGGAGCAGTGGCAGCATGTGCTTGCAGTTTTCTAAAACCAGTTTCACTTAAGAGTGTTTTGATAAAGGCAGTAAAAATTATTAAACTTATTAATTTCAACCTTGAAAAACAACATCTTTTTAGTATTCCTTGTGACTGGAGGCAAAATGTACATAAACTATTCAATTGTGCTATAAGCTGAAAAACTGCTTTCTTCACAGAAGCAGTTTTGCTTGAATAATTGTTAGACAAATTATTGCAATTCAAAAAAAAACCTCAAAAGTGGGCCAGGGAGATGGCTCAGTAGAATAAGCACTTCACTGGCAAGTGCAAGGGCCTGAGTTCAATCCCTGGTTCCACCAAAAAAAACCTCAAAAGTGATTTACCTCTAGGAAAAGAAATGACAGTATTCTGAGCCAAAGTAAAATTTTGGAAAACTTATACCTACTACAATGAGCATGACTGCTTCCCCAATACATAAATTCTTGCCTGGTGATAGTAGTGATAACAAGTCATTTTTGATACTGTATAATGAAATGTGACAATATTTAGAAGATCTATTTAATTCAGCAATTGCCAAATGACCAACAAAAGTATGCACTTAAATGTAAAAAAGACCAATGGGTTTCCGCAGAGGAGTACTCACAGTTATTTGGTATTAGCCTGTGTACTGTAGCAAGCTTAACAAACTAGCACTTGTCAACTTTATGTAAGTATTGCTGAAAAGCCATGATCATCTGAAAAGGCCATTAAAATATTCTCCCTTCTTCCAACTACATGTCTGCATGAGGCAGATTTTCTTCTGAGGTCTCCACTAAACTTATCTTGAGAATATGTGCAGTAATAGATGTGAAAAACCAGCTGTTTCCTATTAAACAAGAGATTTCAGATTGGCAGAAATACAAAACAAATGCCACTCTTCTCATTATATTTGTTTTGGAATATTTAGTTTATATTTTATAAAACTTTGATAATCTATAATGGTTTAAGTTTGTATGATATCAGTATATATTTTAATGTTCTGTTTTGATTTCTGATACCATTAGATATTCATACCCAAAAAAGTCATTTAGAGTGCACGACCACTTGAGAGTGTGCGAGTCCTGAGACCAAGAAGGTTGAGAGCTGTTCTACACAACCCTGGTTTCCCTCCTGCTCGTACCCCTTCCGACGAATGTTCTGATTTCTTATCTTTCCTCTTTAAACTTTGTGTTTCCCAGATAATACCTTACATTGTAGTTATTTGTTTTGTAGTTATTGATTGTATTCTTGGACATGAGATATCAACCCTTCAAGTCTCACAGGGGAAACTGAGGGATTATGCCACTAACCTCTTGGTCACTGTGAACCACTATGTCTTTGGGTTTATCTGTGATAAGAATTGGATTTAATGACAAATTTTCTTCTA